TTCTTTCTTTCTTTCTTTCTTTCTTTCTTTCTTTCTTTCTTTCTTTCTTTCTTTCTTTCTTTCTTTCTTTCTTTCTTTCTTTCTTTTTCCTTGAGATCATTTCCATAGATTCGACAGAGATTGTGGACTGATGTTAAAATCCTAGATGGCATTAACAGAGGGATAGAATCAAGATCTCGTGAAGTGTTAGTACCACTTTATCATGCCTTGGTGAGACCACACTTGGAATACTGCATCCAGTTTTGGTCTCCACAATATAAAAAAAGACGTTGAGACTCTGGAAAGAGTGCAGAGAAGAGCAAGAAAGATGATTAGGAGGATGGAGGCTAAAGCATGTAAAGAACAGTTGCAGGAATTGGGTATGTCTAATCTAATAAAAAGAAGGAGTAGGGGAGACACGAGAGCAGTGTTCCAATATTTGAGGGGCTGCCACAAAGAAGAGGGAGTCAAGCTATTCTCCAAAGCACCTGAAGGCAAGACAAGCAGTGAATGGATCTAAACTAACCAAGGAGAGAACCAACCCAGAAATAAGGAGAAATTTCCTGACAGTGAGAACAATTAACCAGGTTGCCTTTAGAAGTTCATATTTATTTCTGTTCAATTTGTTGTTCTGACTGTCCTCAAATTACGCTTGGAATTCGGCTCTGTTGTGGCTCAGCGTTGCTTTCGTACAGGAAATGTGTGTTTCTTAGGTTAGGATTTTCGAAATGAGAAGCCGAAAAGATCCAGTGGCTTTAATGCCATCTAAACCTGGATTTACAGCAAAATAGACTAACTTCCTTTGGGTTTATCCCACAGGCTGGAACCAAGACGGCATGATCCATGCGGCAGGTATAAAAACAGATCCTGGCCAGCAGAAGCAGGAAGATGGGGTGACCATAGCCCCAGAGGATATAATGCCTTTTTTACAGTGCTACTGTTCCGGTCACTGTCCAGAAAATGCCATTAATAACACGTGCAAGTAAGTATTGCAGACAGAACGAAGACCAAGTGAGGTGAGAGGCTTCGAAATCCTTTGCCCTCCCTAGTTCTTCACTCCCTGCACATTGGTGATTAAATAATTGCTTTCTTATTTTGAAACATTTCAGAAATTTCAAGATGTAACATTTCAACACGTTAGAAGCTTTTGAACAGCGCAGTTCACAGAAGTAAAACGTTGTGATTTGGCCATCCTAGACTTGCAGTTTTTTATTGCCCTCTAGTGGTCACATGTATATCAACTCTGCCGGTATTGAACATGTAGTGCGGAAACCATCGGTGAACGCACATTTCAAATGCATCATAATTCTGAAGGCATACAAGGTGGTTGTTCCTATAGAGGATTGGAATCCAAATTTTACATTAGAAAAATGCCTTTCTACTCCCATAACTTCTTCTAATTCTATTTTCTGTTTTTCTGTTAAATTTTTAGTCATTAATTTAGTTTTCTTCCTATTAATTTTGAGCCCTGCTAGTGCTCCAAATTGTTCTAATTCATTCATAAACTTTTGTCCTCTTTCTATTGGTTCCTCAATGAAAAAAATCAGATCGTCCGCAAACGCTTGCAACTTATATTCTTCTCTCTTAACCTTTAATCCTTTTATATCTGGGTTCTGTCCAATTCGCATTAATAATGTTTCTAATGATAATATGAAGCGCAGGGGTGAGAGTGGGCAGCCCTGTCTGACTCCTTTTTCTATTTTTATTGGGCGGGTATATTCCCCGTTTATTATAATATTAGCCTGTTGTGTATCATAAATAGTTGTTATAATGTTTTCAAATTTGGTGCCTAAATTCATATTATAAATTTTTTGGATTAAAAATTGCCAATTTAAATTGTCGAAGGCCTTCTCTGCGTCTAAAAACATAAGTGCAATTTGTTTTTCAGGGTGGGCTTCATAAATTTCTAAGACATCTAGTACTATTCTTAAGTTGTTCCTAATTTGTCTGGTCGGGAGAAATCCATTTTGATCTTCATGTATATGCACGTTTAACATTCTTTTTAGTCTACTTGCTATAATAGAAGTAAATATTTTGTAGTCAGTGTTTAACAGTGAAATTGGCCTATAATTGTTTATATATCAGGGATCCGAATCCTCCTTCGGGATCAGCGAAATCAATGCCCCCCTCCATGAGTCCGGCATCCTGGCTGCCAATAAGATGTCATTAAAAACTTCCACCATAAGAGGTCCAATTTGTTCTGCAATTGCCTTGTACAGCTCCCCTGGAATCCCATCTGGCCCCGGGGCTTTATTGTTTTTCTGGTTCTCTATTGCTGATTTCAATTCCAACCAAGTGATGTCTTTGTTTAATAGTTCTACCATTTCTTCCCCAATTGCTTTATCCTTCACTTCATCTAAATAGTTTCTTATTCTATCCTCATTAACTTCTTCCTTTTTATATAACTCTTCAAAATACTCATGGGCAATTTCTTTTTTCTGTTCTATCTCCTGTTGTATATCCCCCTTTCCATCTATTAGCTGGTGTATCAGTCTCTTTTCTTTCCTTTTTTTAGTTTGTAAGATAGCCATCTTCCTGGCTTATTAGCATGCTCAAAATGTTTGTCTAGTTGTATTCAAATTTATAATCATTCTCTCTTGTTCAATTAAATTCAGTTTATGTTTAGTTATTATTATCTGATTTTGCAATTTTGAATCCTTTGGGGTACTCTGTAATTGAGTTTCTAGTTCCTTAATTTTTTGTTGTAATTTGTTTTGCTGGGCATATTTTTCCTTATTCCTCTTGACATTATAAGAGACTGTTATATCTCTTATTACTGCCTTCATTGGATCCCAGATGTTTTGTTTCGTAGTTACTTCATTATCATTTTCCTTTAAGAAATAATTTAATTCCTCCTTGAGTTTGTTAGTATATTCTTTTTCTCTTATTAATTGAGTTTTTAACATCCATCTTTTATTTGGTTTTTCCCTACCCCTCCATATTATCTGAATTGGATTGTGATCTGCCCATTCATTAGGTAAAATTTCAATCCCTTTTATCTCATTTGCTATTTCCCCATTCATCCATGCCATGTCAATTCGTGTCCATATTTGATGCGGATTTGAGTAGAATGTAAATTGTTTTTTCTCAGGATGTAATCTTCTCCATATATCAGTCAAATCTAACTCCTTCATCATTTCCCTACATATCTTGGGAAGCTCTCTTTTCCCCCCTTTATTCTTCCCCCCATTACTGTGGTCTTTTTGATAATCAGCAATAGAGTTGAAGTCTCCTATGATACAAATATTTCTTTTTTCCAATCCTATTATTTTTCCATAAAGATGCTTTAAAAACTCTTTTTGATCTCCGTTCGGGGTGTAGCTTACCACTAAGAGAATTCGGATAGCATTAATCCAGATCTGCAAAACCAGAGTTCTTCCCTCAGAATCTGACCATATTAAATCTGCTTTCAAATCCTCTTTAACATATACTGCAATCCCTTTCTTTTTTCCCATGTCTGCTGGTGCGGTAAATAGCTTCCCTAATTTCGGACATTCCAGGTGTTTTTCATCTGTTTTCTTTATATGAGTTTCTTGTAGGCATATAACATGCTTATATCAGCATTTTGTTTGATTAGTTTAGCTAATATCCTCTTCCTTTTTATCATCGAATTTAAACCATTTATATTAATTGATAGTAGTTTCTTTTCTTCTTCCATTTAATTAATTCTGTTTCGCTCTTTGTCTTGTAATGACTTCGGTCTCTCCTTGTGCCTGAAAATGTGTAGTTTCTTCTCTCTCCTGATATAAATGAGTATTTCCTTGATTTCCTAAAGTTACGTTTTTATTTTTGTGATAACCTTGATCTTTCTGGGAGTTTGTTTCCAGTTCCTCCTTACTGCTTTGGTCTTTCGGACCTACCAGCCGCTCATAGAATTCCTAGGCCTTTTCCATGGAGTCTATTTTAATTTTCCTTTTGTTCCAAGACACTAACATCCCCTCTGGGATTAGCCATTTAAATGTGATTCTTTTCTGATTTAAATAAGCTGCTAAGAACTTGTAGTCTTGCCTTTGTTCTCTTACTCTTCTTCGTATTTGAGAATCAAGACTTCTTTACCTTTATACGTGATGGTTTCATCTCTGGACATCCTATATATAATATTCCGGACACTCCTTGTAAATCATATATGGACTTCTCTTGGGCATTTATGGTGTCTCACATAGTTAGTGCTAACCCTATAAACTTCATCAAACTCCCTTAAGATGTCATCTTTATCCTTTTCCAATAATCCAGCCAGTATTCCCGCCATTAGTTGTTCCAGGTCTTCTTCTTTGGATTCCACTACATTTTTGAATCTCAAGTATGTAGCCGCCTTGTCCATCTCTAGGTAGACCAGTGAGTCCTCCATTTCTTTACTCGCATTCTTTAATTCTTCATCTACCCTTTCTAATTTCCTTTTGGTTCATTCAGTCCTTTTCTCTACCTCTTTTGTTGTTGCTTCATTTTTCTCCAAGGCCTGCTGTAATAATCCAACTTTGTCCTCTACTTTGGAGATATCTGCTTTCATTTCTGCTTTTAATTTCCCCATCTCCTCTTTTAGTTCATTGGTATCTGCTCTCCTCTCATTATGGTTTTTCATCATTGTTTCTTGCAGCTTCGTCATCAATTCCTGTAAAGTCAGCAAAATTGATTGGATGTTGGCATTCAAGATATTAGCTTGTTTCTCCACTGGTAATGTTTCTTCTATGGTTTTTTGTGCCATGGGCGAAGCTGTTGCCAACGTAGTTGTTAATGTCGGGGTGGCCTTTCTTCCGGTTTTCAGAGCTGTAGTAGTTGTGGAAGTCATTTCTTTTAAGATTTGTTTCTGTTGATGAACTATATTAACTATATTATCCCAAATTAACATTCAGTGATATAATCTCTGTATTAGGATTGACCGATATCTAATTACTTTATCTATCTGCTGGGTAGCTGGAACTAGAACATAGTAGCTGTGTTCTTAACTGGTTACTGGAGTATATATATTATTTTAGATCCAAATTCTAAATCACATATATAATTTTGTAAGGTCTGTGCTCAACCTCTATACTTCACTTCATGTAATAAATATATATATATAATAAATATTATATCAAATCCAACTATATTTAAATATTATAAATATATATGTGTATTTATCTAACCTTTTCTTAAATATTAAATATTCTTAAACACAAACAATATTACATTTGTCCCAAGTAGATTAATTGCGGTCACACAATAAATTGTAATATTAATATATGAAACCCTGTACTTATTAATTAAATAGTACTTAATGTTCTTACTATTTGTGATAAAGTGATAAAGAAAGCTAAATATTTAGGAATATGGTTGACAGCACATTGTAAGACACTTAAGGAAAATAATTATGATAAATTGATGCAACAGGTAAAGAAGGATTTAGAAACATGGGGTAAGCTGCAACTTTCATTATTAGGCAGGATCACTGCCATTAAAATGAATATTCTTCCAAAATTTCTATATCTATTTCAGACGATCCCAAGTACACAAAATTTTTTTTGAAGAACTTAATAAAATAACTGTTAAATTTATTTGGCAAGGGAAAAAACCTAGAATAAATTTAAAGGCAATGCAGGATATGAAGAGCAGGGGAGGACTGGCACTTCCAAATTGGGCATTGTATTATATTGCTGCCTCTTTAGTATGGTTGAAAGAATGGGTGAATTTAACTAACAAGAGAATATTATTTTTAGAAGGCCATGATTTGCAGAGGGGGTCGCATGCTTTTTTATGAGATGTAGGGAAAACTAGCTAGAAATATTTCCATAGACACCTAATCGGAGACTCATTATTAACTAATTGGAAGAAAATACAGAAAAAACATTATTTAAAAGTACCAATTTGGATTTCAACAGTGGAGGCGATGATTCACCCAAATAATCTGGATATTACTAAAATGATTAAATATAAGGACCTATAAGGAAATTTGAAATCGCGGCAAGAACTTCAAGAGCGGGGACTAAAAATTGACCAGTGGGTATACCTTCAAATTCAAAGTAGACATAAACAAGACAACAAAAAATAACAAAATTTTATAATTATTTATTAGAAGTAGAATTAGAAGAAGAAATTGTAAAAGGGAACATGATAGCCTGGAGTAGGAATGTAGGACGTAGCATCACTCTAACAGAATGGGAAAAGGTGTGGGGTAGAAATAATAAGATTACAAAATCGGTAGCATATAAAGAAAATGCCTATAAAATGTTTTATAGATGGCACCTTCCTCCTTCGAGATTAGCGAAGATGCACCCCAATATGAGTCCGAATTGCTGGAAATGCAAAAAAAAAGAGGGAACTTTTTTCCATATGTGGTAGTCCTGTACAGAAGCTCAAAAATATTGGCAGAAAATTAGAAATTGGCTGGAAGAAATGACAAGAGAACAGATCGAATACAAACCAGAGTCCTTTTTGTTAGGGAATCTTTGATAAACAAATATCAAAAAAAGTGAAATACACAATAATACACTTTTTGACAGAGGCCAGATTAGCTTTTGCCCGATGTTGGAAGCAGCCTCATGTTCCATCAGAGGAGATGATCATTCAAAAAATTTCAAGTTGTGCAGAAATGGACAAATTAACTTTAGCATTAAAAAATAAAGACACCTCAATATACTACAACAGCTGGAACTGCTGGTACAAATGGATAGACCAAAGATAGACTTCACAGTAAAAGGCAAAAGAGGATAGGATAGATCCATAGTAGTGATACACAGATATATGTAAAGATTAGGTGTGTGTATATGGCATAAATTAAGAGGGAAAAAAGAGGTCTTACAAACTGTTGAAGATGAGAATGTTTTTAATTGTTTTCTATTTTTTCTTTCTATTTTCTTCTCCCTTTTTTCTCTTTTTTTTTTTCATTTGTGTATGTGTTGTCGGTTTGTTTTACTTGTAAAATCAATAAAATTTATTTATTAAAAAAGAAAAATGCCTTTCTAAATGCCAACTCTGCGATAGGAAAACAGCTTGTATGTTTTGTGCTCTAACTATGGACTGTTCTTTAAAGAAAAAAGAAAAATCTATTGGGCCAGCTTCATGCCACATAATGGACTCCCAGACCAGTTATTTTTGCAGTCATAGGACTGGTTTGTGTTGTGTGTGTGTTTGTGTGTGTAAATAAAATGGAGCAGTATTTCTACTTGCCACTCTGTTCAATATTTTCTATTTGCAGCTAATTTCATTTCCCATCAGAGTAGCATGAACTCATAGTGTTAGAACAGGGGTTCCTGTTAAGGTAATGAAGATTTAATAGCTGACCGGCTTCTGTAAGGCTATAAGCCAAGATGATGAGGGTACTGCCGCTTTAAGAAGCTGTCTATATAAGGGAGGCCATGTGAGGGCATATCTCTCTCTCTCTCTCTCTCTCTCTCTCTCTCTCTCTCTCTCTCTCT